CCCGTTCATGCTCTCACCATCCTTTTTTTTCTCATGTTACATTCAGCCGAGTCAAGCGAGGGGCGGCGAGAGTGCGGGGGTAGAAATAGACGCGTGGTGCCACGCACCCGCTCACTCGTCTCTGCCCTACGGGGACGCATGTTTCTTTTTTCTTCTTTTTGATTTCCGAGCTTTTTTCCCTCTTTTTTTTTTTTCTGTTGTTGCCGTCACGCACGCGTGTGGACGTGTTTGCGCCTGTGCGTGTTTGCGCCTGTGCGTGTGCGTGCGTGCTGGGGCTGCACCGCCCCTGTGTGTGCCGCTTGGCGCTTCATTGGGGTGTCTTTTCTTCTTCTTCTGTTTTTTTTTTTTTCGCTTTGCGTGGCGGCTGAGTTCTCTCCCCCCGCGGCAACACACCCGCCCCGCGCCCGCAGAGGCCTTCAGGTGGCCGGAAAGCCGTGGAAGTCAGGGGGCGGATGCTGCTGCGCGTCCGAGGCAACGGCGCCTCGCCGGAGAACTCGCAGGCGGCGCTGGTGTACCTGCGCGGTTTTCGTCGCACGAACACGCGGCCCCCGTCCGGCGTCTACTCCCTGGGCGGCGTTGCGCGGCCGCTGCTTTACCCGCATTTCCAGGTGGGCATTGAAACCCCCGCGGCGGCCGCGGATGCCGAGCTGCAACGACACCTGCGTCAGGTCGTGTGGAAGGAGCTGTGGAACGTGTACGACATCGTCTACGATGAGCTGCGCCTCTTCCCCGACGCGCAGCCCACGGCGGCCCTTCTTGCTTCTTCTGGCAGTGGCCCGGCAGAAGGTGTTGCCGGGTTTACGCGACTCACGGCGCGCGGTGGGGGTGAGATGGCTGTGGTTGTCACACATCACTTCCCAGCGGGCGAGGTGCCGCCTGTCGCCCACGACGTGCCTGCGCCAGGGCCGGTGGCGGTGGTGGTGGTGTTGGACGTCTCGGATCTGCCGCTGGCAGATGCGGCCACGAGGGTTGCGGCGGAGGTGGCGTGGCTGGCGGGCTACGCGTCGATGCAGGGGGCACTGGCCCACGCTTCGCACGTCGTGGTGCGACTTCCGTACACGTGCGACATCTCCACGGAGGGGAACCGCAGCCCCCTGGTGCAGGAGGGGCTCGACTTCATCGGTGAGCACATCGCCCTGCTCGCGCAGAGCTTCGCGCGGGCGACAGGCGACTGCGCGCCTCCGTCAGTGGAGACGTGTTTTGTTGGGGCGAGTGCCGCGCAGTTGCAGGAGACGCTGGGCCGCCTCTGTGCGTCAACGCACGCGCCTAGTCGCACGGAGAGGGGTGTGCCCCGCGAAGGCGTCCGCCTCTTCGCCGGCGATCAATACCCGCAACAACACTCTTCGCAGAAGATGCAGGTGCTGCAGGCCATCGCATCAGCGATCGGCGTCGACGTGTCTTTTGAGCCGGTCCCACTAAAGAGTCTTCTGGACGGCGCTGAGGAGCCGTGGGATGCGTCCACCACGCGGGAAAATCAGGTGCTGAACTTCTGCCCCTGCTGTGGACACTGCGGCAATCACTAGACGAGCAAACGCATGAAAGAATAAAGGAAATAAAAAAGGGGGCCCATTGGTCCCGCAACCAAAAAAAAAAGAAGTAATATCGTGTTGTTGTTGTTGCTGTTTTTATTGTTCTTGTTTTGACGGCGGCCGGGGGGACAAGGAGGGCGCGGATAGACGTCGGTTTGGCGCGTCGCTGCACGCGCGTCCACACATCCCGGAGACGGAGGAGGAGGAGGGCCAGCGGGAATGAGAGCAGATGCGAGAAGGCGTGCAATGCGGACTGCGTCTTATTTTATTTTTCCCCTGCCTCCCTTTTTTTTTTTTGTCCTGCGGCTCGCCGTCACTCCTCCTTCTTTCTCTCTCCCTCTCCGTCTCTCGCACTTGCCGGTGGACGGCAGCGGCAGCAGCAGCAGCAGCAATGGACGCCGTCGCCGGTGACTCGCTGGAGTCGTATCTCTCCCGCTACCGGCTGCGGCTGCTGATGGACGAGTGGCTCGACGTCGTGGCGCAGCGGCAGCCGGAGGACCCCTTCTCGTACCTCGTCGGACTCATCAACGGCTACAACCGGGACGGCTGCGGGCTCGTCACGTGTGAAAACAAGTGGTGCGAGATGGTGATTCCCGCCTCCGAGTACGCGGCCCACCTGGCGACCTGCTCCGAGGTGGGGAAGTGGGTGAAGTGCACGCGATGTAACGTGCGTGTGGAGGCCTCCCGCATGCGACAGCACAAACGCAACTGCAAGCTGGAGAGCTGCGCCTACTGCGGGGAAATGGTGGTTCCACGCCTGCGGGACATGTGCCCGTGCAAGCTGAAGGCGGATGCGGAGCGCGCCTGCAGGAAACAGGCGGGTGTCGCGCGGAGGCGCGACAGTATGGCGTCGCCGCCGCCTTCCCCCCCCGTGCCGTCGTCTGCAGGCGCCCCACCGTATCTGAGGCGACCGTTGTCTTTTCCTTCGCACTTGAAGGACCGTCTCATTAGCATTCAGAACAGCTGGCGGAGGACCTTTCTGCAGGAGCGCTTTAAGGACCTCTGCTTCAAGTTTGTGTGGCAGGCGTTGGAGTTGTACCGCGAGAAGCAGGCGACAAAGGAGTACATCGCCATTCCGCGGGACACTTCAACCACGACGTCGGCGCAGCATTTCCTTAACTACGCGGCCCTTATGAGGGGCTGCATCTCCGTCTCACGGTTTGAGGCGTTGGCCAAGACAATCACGTCCGGGGCGGTGGTGGAGTTTGCAACGGCGGAGCGAATTATATCCATGGCCATCGGCATCCTCGCCGCCCGCCCGCTTGTGCAGCGTGTGACGATTCCCGAGGGGGGTGACGTGGTGGTGATTGGCGACCTGCACGGGCAGATGAAAGACCTCCGCGAGGCGATTGTCCTCACCGGCGGACTGCCGAACCCGCATCGCTACTTGGTCTTTAATGGCGACTTTGTGGATCGTGGCTCGAATGGCATGGGGGTGCTACTGTACGTTTTTACGCTTCTCTGCGCCTTTCCGTCGTTTGTGTTTATTAACCGCGGGAACCACGAGGACACCCGCGTCAACGCGGAGTACGGCTTTGAGACGGAGGTGTACGGCAAGTACGGCATGGAGCACGCGAAGCGGCTGCTGGAGGTCATCGTCGACAGCTACCAGTCGATGCCGCTGATGACCGTCCTCGACGGGATGATCCTCGTCGCCCACGGCGGGGTGCCACGCCTCCCGGTGACGCTGGAGCGCATCGAGTCGCTGGGTCGCATGCGAGACATTCCCACGGCAGGGACAATCACCGACGAGGAGCAGATCATCGTGGATATCCTCTGGAACGACCCGGTGGAAAAGTTCCACTCGCGGCAGTTGGGTCTGCGACACCGGGCCCAGCACTGGCGCACCAGCAAGCGTGGATGCGGGGTGGAGTACCTTGCCCCCATCACGGAGGAGTTTCTTCGGCTGAATAATCTTCGGCTTGTGGTTCGTTCCCACGAGGAGGTGCAGGCCGGGTTTGAGCTCGTGCATAACGGCCAGTGCTGTACGGTGTTCAGTGCGTCGAACTACTGCGGCGTCTCAGGCAACCGGGCAGCGCTCGCGGTGTTTCCAAAGGGGTCATTGCACCCTGTCTTCCACACGTGGTACGTGCGCAACGACGAGGTCGAGATCGACGCGGCGACGACGAGGGAGCTTCTGCACGAAATCATGGCGGCTGACGGTGGTAAGGGGGAGAGCGACGGTGACGAGGAGGACGTGGGAGGCGGGGAGACGGCGGGCAAATTCAGCGCGGCCGAAAAGACTGCCAACGACGCCGCAGGCGGAGGTGAAGTCACCCACGCGGCAGGGGGCGCCGCGGAGACGGAGGCGGAAGCCGGGGCCGGAGCCGATGCGACGGCGACGTACTCCTCATCGGTGAAGGGAAAATTGATGTCTCGCCTGAATGTGCTTATGCAGCTCGCCGAAATCATCTTCCGGAAGCGGTACACCCTCTTGTCTGGGTTCGTTGGCGCTGACTATGAAAAAACGGGGATCATCTACAAGATCGAGTGGTGCGAGGTGATGCGCAGCGTCCTGGAGATCGATCTTCCCTGGTACTACCTCTGCAAGTTTGTGGCGCCGCAGGAGGAGCTGGAGGAGGTGCCGTGTGTGCGGTACGTCTCCTTCCTGCGAAGGTTCGAGGCCCGTTTTTCGTCACAGTACTTGCTGCCGTTTCAGGTGGCGATTGTGCGGCGCGTCTTTGGCGAAATGGACTTGCCGGATGACCTGCTTGGCCGCCTCAACGGCGCCGACGCCTCGGAGGCGACGACGGCGTCGTCGCTCTCGCACGGCCAGTGCCAGCCGGTGGCGGCGGCGGGCAGCAAAGCCGGCCTGTTCCCGCCCGAGGCGGTGCGGGGGATGTCGCGGAGCAAGTCGTCAACGCTGCGCAGCCAGGACTCGGACGTGGCGCACTCGCTGCGTCGCTCCAACGCCGTCGAGCCGTGGCGCCTGCTGAAGGTGGACTTCAACGTTTTCGCCTCCGTCCTGCGCTCCCTCTCGCACGTGGCGGCCACGCTGGAGGACGACGCCATGTACGCGCTGTTTCAGTACCTCGACTCGGAGGAGTGCGGGCACGTGGTGCTGGGCGGCCTCGTGGACCTCGTCGAGGCGACGCTCGATGACGGGGAGGAGATTGTGCTGCTCGGCACGAGTGTCATGCTCGACGCGGACTTTGGGATTCTGGTGCGGGATAACGAGAAGAGTGCACCGCCGCCGACAAGGGGGAGCGAGGCCGCCATGACATCCTTCACCTCATCAGCCGCGACCTCGCTGAAGGACAGCCGCGGCGAGCCGAGGCGGGAGACAGACCCCGCCGCCCCAGCTGACGCGGGGCAGGAGAAGCAGACCGAGGCAAAGCCGGAGGGAAAGCTGCTTCTTTCCTCACTCGTGCTGTCCTGTACGCCGGGAAACGCCGACACGGCGGCGATCAACTTTGGCCAGGAGCTGAGCTCGGCTGTGAAACGACCTTCGCGGACCAGCGTGGACGAGAACGTCGCCGATGCACTTTGGCTCTATCCCGCGTTGCTGCGCCTGCATGAGGGGTTTAACTACGGCTTACTGACCTCCTTGCAGCAAAACTTTCGGAACCTTAACCGCACCAAGGATGGTAAGCTTACCTTTGATCAACTGAATGTTGCACTGCAACTCATGGGACGACACATGCGCGAGCCACTCACCAATGAGCAGGCAAAGCGGATTTTTAACGCCATACGCACAGGCGGGAAGCGCTTGACGGGGCTGCATCCGCAGGATGCCTTCGCGGCCACCCGCTCCGAGATGTATAGTTCGGCGTCCGTGACAGCAGCCATTGAGGAGCCGACGACAGTGCAGGACAGCAGTGAAGCCCCCGATGTATTGTATATCACGATGAATGAGTTTGTGAAGTTCTTTTCAATCACTTCCATGGGAGGCAGTGGGCTGCGGCGGCGCAGCGTCGACGCGGACAGCCTCAAGACGACGACCACGCGGGGGGGTGAAACTTGGGCAGGCTTCAGCGCCACACGCAGAAGGAATAGTAACTTGGAGACCTTCCTCGAAGAGCTGCGCACATGGCCCCACGCAGAGGTGTTGGATGAGCTGACGGTGGGGTCGTTTAGTTCCCGCTTTGGCAGCGGCAAAACGTTGCTGCGGGCGCTTCAGGAGCTGATGCGCGCCTCGGCGGCGTCGGCAAGGCTGGCGGCGGGCGTGTCCCCCAACCGCGGCCCCTCCCTATCCCACTCCGTAAAGCGTGGCACCGGCTTCAGCTGTCCGCCCGCCACCAGCCCCTCGAAACTGCCCGCGTCGAGCCGATCCAAGTCGACGCAACAGTCCACATTAAAGGAGCTGCAGCCGACGGAGGAGGCCGGCGGCCCCGATGATGGCAACTTGCCCAAAACTGTCGTTGGCGCCTTACCCCGCGCTGGGAACGCGACCGCAGCTCCCAGCATGGCAACCGAACCTGCTCCTGCCTCAGCTCCTGGGTCTGCACCTGCCTCGGCCTCAGCTCAGGGGTCTGTACGTGCCTTAGCCTCTGCTTCTGCTTCTGCTCCGGCTCCTGGCTCTGCTTCGGGTGACAAGGCCCACCCTGTCGCCGGTGCGAAGGTGACGTGGAAGCGGCGAACCGAAGAGGTGCATGCAGCTTCTAAGCCCATCCCTTCCAAACCGTCCAAAGCCTCTGCGCCCACGGCGGGTAGTGCTAGTGGTGCGCAACCTCGCCGTGCCTTGCTCACGCAACCGCTACCGCAGAGACGCCTGTCCCGTATGCGGCTTTCCTTTCAACAAAGTGGGGCGCCAAAGGCGCCGTTGGGGTTAGTACCGTCGCGCGAGGGAGGAGGAGCCAATGCGCCGAGTAAGACTGGGAACGCGCCTGGGCTTCCAACCGTCCGTGGCACGTTGCCGAAGACGCCAACGCCGCCGCCGGCGCGTCCTGAACCCACCGATGCATCGGCGAGACGCAAATGACTTTTTTTTTTCTGCGGTCCCAATATCCTTTCTGCATGTTTTTTTTTTTTGCTTTGTGTGTTTCCCCTGCGGAGTGCGTGTGTAGGTGCGCGTCTGTGACGACCCTTTTGGAGTGTACTTGTTCAGTTTCGTCACACACCCACGCGGAGTGTGTCCAGAGGAAGAAGTTGCTTGTGTGTGTGTGTGCCTGTAAAGTCTGCAGCAGTGGGCAAGAGGTTCCAGGGGAACGTGGTAAAAGACAGAAGTGAGCCTCTCGCGCCAAAAAAACAAACAAAAAAACAAACAAACAGGGAAAGAGCCGCGGTGGTGAGAGCAGCAGATGAATGCGCGTGTGCCAACCAATCAAACAGGGAGCCCGCTTCGCTGGTTGCCCAGTCATATACTTCGACCTTCCTTTGCTTTGCCGCGTGTCATGCTTTTTTTTTCTCCATGGCTGCGTGTCTGCCCGCCGAGTTTTCTCCGGTTCGCCAAGTTTTCATTGTCGCCTCCCCAGCTCTCCTGTGGCCTTATGTATCCATCGGTCCTTTGCTCTGCACCGGGGGGGGGGGGGTGTGTGACGTCGACAGTTTGGAGGCACCAAAAGAGGCAAGAAGCAATCAACAAAAAAAATAATAGTAATAACAAATACTGAAGGCCAGACGGAGAGATGCGTGTGGGGCGAAATTCGTGTCGTCCTTTTTTCGTTTGTTTTGTTTTTTTCTGTTCATTGTGTCTGTTTTCAACTCCCTCTTCCGTGGCAATATCCCTCCCTTCCGGTCTCTCTCCCGGTGTGTGTGTGTGTGTGTGTGCTTCCTTCCTCGCTCCTGCTTGCGCAGCGTGAAACGGGAATAAGGCAGCCGGAGGTGGATTAACGCCGCTTCTTTTGCGCCTTCGTGAAAGTCCTTTTTTGTTGTTGTGTTGTTTGTATTTCCTTCTCTTTTCCTTTGCACGCCGCCCACCTGCCTCTCTTCCCCACCCAACGACGACCGGATTGCCTCATGTCATGCTTTTTTTTTCTTTTCTTCCTTCCCGCATTTTTTTATTGTCGTTCTTTTTGTTGCCTGTTGGCTCCAATTTGGTGCCACTTGGAAGGGGGGAGGAGGGGGCGCGTGCTGCGCTTTCGCCGCGCGGCTCGGTGGGGTTGGCGTTTGTCGTTCCACGCGGAGGTCTCATTTGCAAATCTCCGTGCGTGTGCCCACACACACATATATATATGTGTGTGTGTGTGCGCATGCACTCGTTTCTTTTCCCTCCCTCTCTCTATTGCCGCATCTGCGTCTGCTATTGTTGCCGTTTCTGTGTGTGTGTTCCTGTTGTTGTTGTTTGTTTGTTTTTTTTGGGTTGATCCGCGTTTGCGGCCGCGTTCTCGCTCGGTGAGGGGAGGGAGGGCGGCGTTAGCGGCCAGTGACAGAGCTCATCAGGGAAGAGGGGCGGTGCGGCGGGGATGCAGCGCGGGGGGTGGGAGCCGGTGGCGCGGGAGGACCGCGTCGCCGACAAAATGAAGAGCGGCACCGCAGGCGGCGGAGATGAACACGTGACCGCCCTGCGCAGCAGCCAGCTGGCCGCGGACACCAATGAGAACCTGCTGCGGGCGCTGCGGGCGAGTGAGGCGACCAACGAGACGGGCTACGCGACGCTGCAGCAGCTGGGGCGGCAAAAGGAAACCATCGCCCGCACCCTGGCGGGCGTTGAGGGGACGCGGGAGGAGTTGAGCGGCGCCCGAAGGACGATCCGCGACATCCGCGTAGGCGTCTACAAGGAGTGGGCGGTGAAGGGGCTCGTGCTGCTGCTGCTGCTGCTGCTGGACATCGTCCTCTTCTACGTGAAGTTTATTCGGCGCTAGCGCAGGCAGGGGCGGCGGGAGGAAGCACGAACGACGAGACACAGGCGCATCTGTGCGGGGGGACGTCCACACTCGCCTCCCCCTCTTCTTTCGTTCCCTCTTCCTCCTCCTCCTCTTGTGCGTTGCGGCGGCAAAAAAAAAAAGAATGCTAAGGAAACGACAACAACACAAACAGCGAAGGAGCAAAGAGAAGCGGGGGGGGGCCAATGTACGGAGGCACGTTCCAAAAGAAAGTAACTGCACCACACCTTTCGTTATTGATTGATGGGGCTCAGGAGATACACATATATATTTTTGTATTTCTTTTTTGTTTTTGTTTTTTATGTGTTCGCTTTTCGTCGTTGTTCCTCAGAAAAGTGTGCATGCCTCTCTACTTTTTCCTTCTTTTCTCCGCCGGTTTTTTGCTTCACACACACACACACACACACAATTGCAACCGCAGGAGGTGTGCTAGTCCGGCATCCAGCACCATGCGCAACTACAACAACTTCAATCGTGTCTGGAAGGCGCCGCGCCGCCCGTTCGAGAAGGAGCGCCTCGACCGCGAGATGAAGCTGTGCGGCCAGTACGGTCTGCGCTGCAAGCGTGAGATCTGGCGCGTGAACATGACGCTGTCCAAGATGCGCCGTACGGCCCGTCTGCTGCTGACGCTGCCTGAGAACCACCCTCGCCGTCAGCTGGAGGGTTCTGCCATCATGCGCCGCTGCCACGACTACGGCTTCCTCGAGGAGGAGAAGGACAAGCTCGACTATGTCCTCTCCCTCACCGTCCCTGACATCCTCGAGCGCCGCCTGCAGACCGTGGTGTTCAAGAGCGGCCTCGCCAAGTCCGTGCACCACGCCCGCGTGCTCATTCTGCAGCGCCACATTGCCGTGGCCAAGCAGATTGTGACGATCCCGTCATTCATCGTCCGCGTGAGCTCCGAGCACCACATCGCCTTCGCGGATGCCTCGCCCTTCGGCAACGGCCGCGCGGGGCGCGTGAAGCGGGTGAAGAGGAAGGCGGCCAAGAAGGCAGCTGCCGGCGGCGACGACGACGAATAAGGCGCGGGACAGGAAAAAGAAGCGGTGCTGCTGATGTGACACTTCACATGTCTTTTTTCTTGTTTTTCTTTTGTTTGCTTTGCCTCCTGATTCTCGTTTGCGGCGCGTTTTTCTCCCACTCCCCCGCATGCTGCCACTGCGTCCCCCTACTGCCTGAGGTTGCGCTCTGAAGTGCCTTTCACTTTTTGTCTTCTTTTTTTTTTCTTCTTCTTCTTCGTTTGCCCTGCCTGCGTTATTTCTGCTGCTTTGGCAACGGTCCCCCCGCCGAAGCAAATAAAGAAACTTTCCGCCACAACTGAAGGATCTTCTGTTTCTGGCCGCCCGCACATTAGGAGCTCCCATTCGTTGGGTGCGGCTGCTCTGGACACACACACACACACACACATACAAACACAAACACATAGGCAAGCAAGCAAGCAAGCAAGAGGCACTTTATATTTTGTGTTCCTCTCCTTCACACGTTTTTTTTCTTTTTTGCCGGTGTTGCAGCATCTAACACACAACGACACGTACACACGCGCAGACCTTCTGGTCTCTTCCCACCTGTCTACGGGCACCACTTAACACACTTATCTTTTGCTTCCTGACTCCCTCGTGGCTGAGTGCAGTTTTTTTTGTTTTTGTTTTTATACTGGCGGTGCCAATGGACACGAATCAGCGCAGCCAGCCGTACCGCTCCTACGCGGCTCTCGCATGTGCCACCGTCGCGAGACTTTCTGCAGAATACCCGGCGATTCCGCTCGTCTTTGGAGTGTCGGTGCTGGCTGGCGCGCTCGCCGTGTATGTATCGACGGGATCTCCGCGTTGGAAGGGGGCCCCAATTCTCTTCAGTCACGGCAGGAGCCGTGAGCAAAGCAGCTTCTACAAAAATAGGACCCATTCGGCAGCCTTGGCCGCCGTTTGCACATCCACGCGGACGCCATGGTCTACCGGTAGGGAGGAGGACGTGCTGCCGGAGACGGTGGCGGAGGTCGGCGAAGCCCTGCACGGTGATGCGGAGCAACGGAGTTTACCTGCACCGTCGAGGCTTGACTCTCCGCAGCAGCCGCGTCCTGCCTCCCCGCACTCCGCATTTCCGATTCCGCTCCCTTCTCGTCAATGCAAGCACTGCGCACATCGCCAGCACAACTGCGCCACCGCCAATGAGTTCAGTGCATCCGCCGCGGCGGTGCGGGCGCCGACGGCAATCGGTTCCTCCGAAGAAGTGCTTGGCACCCATCAGTTTTACCGGAGCCCTAGCGAATGCGCTAGCAATAGCAGCGACGTTGATACGCCCACAGTTCTCTTTTCAAGCGGTGCGGCGCTTAGTGATGAGGCGGAGGACCCGCATTTTGGCGAGGTTGGATGGAATCCCGCAGTCTTCTTGACGCTGGATGGGGTCTCTGAGGCTCCGCTTGCGTGTGGCGAGGAATGCACAGCTGGGCGAAGTGGCTCAGACGGGAGGCGGGAGTTTGGGGAGACGGAGGAGGTCGCGGGGGGAACGTTGCAGCAAACCCTCTCACACCTGATCGGCGCCTCCGCGGTGGCCCGGCCAGCACGCGCGAGTTCCAGTCGGGCGGCCAGCTTGGCGGCCAGCTCACAAGTGGGGCAGTACCAGTCGAGGTCTGTTTCCGTTTCCCTTGACGGGCGGGCGGCGAGCGCGGCGGCGGACGCGTTAGCCGCGACGGACTTGGGTGAGTTGGAGATGGAGGAGAGCGTCGGCGAGCTTGTGGCCACCTGGAGTTACCCCCGCGCCTCCTCCGAAGCCGCCGCGGGGCACGGCGAGGAGTGCGTGCTGGCGGAGTTCCCGGGCGGCGCTGCCAGGCCGGTGCAGCTTGAGGCGCAGCTGCGCAGCCTGGAGACGCGACTAGAGCAACAGCTGCGCGGCTCAGTGGGCCGCTGTGAGGCCAAAACTCCCGCCACCTGCCACGACGCCGAGGCCGCCGCAGCTTTGCCGACAGCCGGGAGCCGTCATGAGGGGGAGCAGCCCAACACGAGACTCTCCTCCACGGACAGGGCCGACGCCTTTTGTCCGCCACGGCGGGATGCGTCGTGGGTGCACCAGCAACGAACGCCGGCATCCCCTGCCGCGGTGCCCCAGGAACATGATCGGCGCGTGGATGACGTCTTCGTGCGCCCCCGCGGCGACGGTGCCGCCTCCTACTCGTTGTCGCTGACCTACCACGACGCCTACGGTACCGCGCGCACCATCGACACGCAAACCCTGCCACCGCTAAACCTGCCCCCACGAAGTGCGGCCGCCACACCGAGTAGCACAGCGTTCACGGGTTCTGCCACCTCATCTCGGCAAACTCCGCCGTCTTTACAGGAATTTAGGCGCGACGCTAGTAGACGTCCGCTTGCGGCCACCGGCTACAGCAATTCCAAGTCCAATATTGGTCTTCTTGTGGCTCCGCTGCCCCCTCTGGAGCCGAACACGGGGCCCCACCTGCAAGGGTTTGCAGGAAGGAGAGGCGAGCTTCGCATTGGCGCCTTTTTGGGTGGTGGATGTTGCGGGAAGGTGTACGAGTGCCTGAACACCGAAACAGGTGAGGTGCTCGCGGCTAAGCAGCTCCTATTTGATGCCAAGGACCCAAGGCTGCGGTTTCGGCTGAGGCAGTTGGAGTTAGAGCTGGAGGTGTTAACCCTGGCAACGCGCCACGGCATGCCCTGGATCGTCGGCTTTCACGGTGCGGAGAAGCGAGGGCACTCGGTTCTTATGTATTTAGAGTACTGCCCACGTGGTTCACTGCTGGACTACATGCTTTCCAGCAGGGCGCAGCCGCCGCTGGCCACGTCCCTGGGGTTGTCCACGGCTTCTGTGTCCAGCCTCAGGGGGGCAGCGGCGGAGCAGACGGACGCACCGTCGTCCGCGGCCGAGGCAGCCTCGCGGGTTGAGCAGCAAAGGCAGAAGAAGAAGACGACGACGATGCCGACGGTGATGATGACTGGGGGAAGTAGTGACGGAGGCTCACCCCTGTCTTCCACGGCGACGTCGCTTTGCTTTTCCGCCGCAGCAACCCCGTCCCAGAAGAAGCCTGCAGAGCCTGAGATAACGCTTCTCTCAATAGAGGAGGTGCAGCATTTTACGCGGCAGATTGTCGAGGCCCTGCACTTTCTCCATTTTCATGGATACGCCCACTGGGATGTAAAAACGGCGAATATTCTCGTCACCGAGGAGAGGGATGCGCGGCTTGCGGACTTTGGGTGCTCCACGCGCCTGCGGCGAAGTGTGGCGGGGTCCGAGACCTGCGAACCGCCAGGGCAGAAGGAAGGCGCATTTCATGAAGCTGCGACGTGGCACGCGGGTGCCGCCGCTGGCGCCGCCGCTGGAGCCGCGTCCAGGGAAACCCCCGAGGCTGCGGCCTCACCCCCGTATCCTGTTCTTGCCGACGATGACGCCATCATGGGGCTTCGTGGCACGGCGGTGTACATGGCCCCCGAGATGATTCGCTTTGAGCGCTATCGCCTTGGCACCGCCGCTGATGTGTGGTCGCTTGGATGCGTGGTGATGGAGCTCGCGACGGGCGCCGCCCCATGGCGACACTTGGCGAAGGACAAACTGAGGGTCCTCTTTCGCGTCGGCTCCGCCCGCGAGGAGCTGCCGCTGCCGCCAAACGTCGTGCGGGCGGCGGAGGCGGCGCGGGGCTGGTTGGCACGCGCGGAGGACCGCCCAGCGGCGGCGGAGTGGCCGAATCGCCGGCGTCTGCAGGTGCGAGGCGGCGGGGGCGCGACGGAAGCCGAGGCGGAGGCCGCGCGCCGGTGCGCGGGTGACCCGCCGGGTTGCGCCGAACGCCACCGGCGCATGCGTTTGCTTGTTGCCCTGGAGGCTTTTCTCGCGCTTTGCCTGCGAATTCGCCCGGACGACCGGCCGCGCTGCGAGGAGTTGCTGCTCCACCCCTTCCTCGCCGCCGGCTGAGCGCGCGGCTGCGGCCCCTCCCCGAAGGAGGCTGGAAGACGAGAAGAAACGAACGAAGCAAAACAAACACAAAAAGAGGAAGCCTCCGCAATGAGGGGTGCGGGTAGGAAAAGTTTTTACGGGAGGTT